ACCCTAAATCCAAAACCCCTCTTAAACCCAAAACCCCCAAACCCTTTTTCCTGAGGTGCTCAACTCTGACCTCTCTGCCTCTGGGATGCCCGGCGCAGCACTACTGGCTGTTACAGGAGCCGCAGCACTTTGTGCTCCCAGCTAGCCGGCACAACCTCCAAACCCTACACCCTAAATCCAAAACCCCTGAACCCTACATGGAAGACCCCTAGACCCTAAATCCAAGACCCCTAAACCTTAAACCCCAAACCCGAAAGCCCCAAACCCTAAACCCTAAATCCAAAACCCGTGAGCCGTAAACCCGAACCCCTAAACCCAAAACCCCTAAACCCCAAACCCTAAGCACCCAAACCCTAAATCCTACATCCAAACCCCCCAACCCTAAATCCTCCCAGAATCGTGAATTGGCTAACTGACCCGCGTTTTTTTGTTGGCTTAGACACCCTAGGGCGCAGACCCTTCCGGCAGGACAGCATCGTGGATTGGCTAAGTGACCCGCGTTTATGTTGGCTTAGTGACCTGAAACAATGCGGGTTCCGGACTGGCTAAGTGACCCGCGTTTTTGTTGGCTAAGTGACCATTGGCCCCGCTTGCTGCACAAGAACCAGCCAGGTCACGCAAAGAACCTCTGCACTACTCCGAACCTCTTCTGTCAAGCCATTCTCAGATTTCGACTCGCTCTCTCTGTGCGCCGCTACCCTGCAACTTTCTCATGCTTTTGGCACGTCTTGCTGCTGACATCGGCTCCTGCGAAGAGACACCTCCGCCTTCATTACAGAACGGTCCCCTGCGCACACAGCAGACACGGTCCTGCAGAGTCCCGGCATGCAACAAGTTTTCCAAAACAAACTTCTTCAATTTCATCGCGCTGTCGCTCCTTCAAAATTGACTGCCCCGGCTTCCCGCCTGATATGGCTTTCACTACAAATTTCAGGTTCCCCTTACAATCCCCTTACATGGGAGAGTTAGACCGGGTTGGCAGTCTGAGCCGGAGGCTCTTACACAATGAATATGGTACCCAATATTACCCCAATAATGGAGAATCAAATGGAAAAGAAAATGGAAAATGAAATGGAAACTGGGGTTATATAGGTGTTAAGTTTGAAATCACAACAGCTGGAGAGAGATTAGGGGTTTAGGATCTGTATTGGGTCAGGGCATCCTGGGTGAAACCAGCCAACAATGATCAGCCAATTTTGGTGGAGCGGAAAGGGATGGTGGGCAGCAGCAGCAGCAGCAGCAATTGCCTGACTAGTCTTCATTCCGATGCTATGGCTGATTATTGTGGTGCATCTGATCAGGGCATGTGTAGTCTACATAGTCCGAAAATAATGGTCACAGCAAACTTGTCCACGCTTGCCAAACATGCTTCAAATTCCGACTTGATGTTTGGGAAAGGACTGGAGATGGGCCTGAGCTTTTTATGACCAACTTTTGTTAGACGTGTGTAGTGCTCAATGAACCGCACCGGGCTGCGAAGGTTGCAGAATGACACTGTACCATCTGAACGTCAGGCCGGGGCTGCAGCAGGTTTAGCATATTGCGGGTTTCACTACTACCTCCCTCTATACTAACCCTACAGGGTTCTCCATTAATTATTACCGGATGCTTCCGTACTGCAACCCGACCACTGCGGTCAAACCCCCTTCTTCACTAGCAGGCATGGAGACAGCTTAATCTGACAGGCACCCAGCCTCCCCTGGTTCTTCGGGTGTCGACTTTGGCTCCACCGCCACCTCCAAAGGATCAAAATTCTCAAGCCTAGCACAGCATGAGACACTGATCTGAAAGCCTTTACATCCTTAGCCAGCAGCTTCATTTCTAAACAGCTGCACCTTCCAGGCATACAGACTTCAGTGCCTGTGCTGAACCCAACGAGGACTACCCAAGAACCTCTCTAACGGGCACCTGCTGCAAATGTCTCGAACTTCGGAAATCTGCATCTCACTGGCTTGCAGCTATGTGCAATCGGCAAATATCAACACATGGGGCGAACAGATGTTGAGACGATGTGGACCAGGTTACTGTTGAATACATGCGTGATCACGTGGGCACAGACCTGGAGAAAATGCTGCGTTAACACTTGGCCCACGTCACGCTTACAGCGCGATGCATGTAGCCTGTCTTCATGTGATCAACTCCGATCGTTCCATGACTCTCAGGCCGCCATGGTCAGCACTGAACTGCTCTCTTGAGATCATACTACGAACCTTGACAACATGGACAATGCGCCTCACATTCCAAAAAACCGGCCTGCTGAGCCTGCGCTGCTGGCTGCGCGCATGGCTTATCTTCCTGACCCTCTGCGGAGGCTGCCTCAGCCAAGGGCGCTTCGTCGGAGGCAGCTTTGCCGCGTACCTGCTGCAAGCCATGATCCCTACGATCCGCCGTACGTAGGGTATCTAGGACTGGATGACTGGGCGGGATGTCCAGATCCCGACCAAACTCAGGAAACGTTCAACAAAAACAGCTGAAGAGCCGACCAACGCAAGAGGACGCAATTAGCCGGCACATCATGACAAGAAGTCCAAGCGTCCAATTGCGTTGGAACTTGCGGTGTCCAGGT